TATCCTACCTTTTTACTTTTATCTGGCTTAGGCTTTGAATTCATGTACATACATTTCCATTAGGTCATTTAACACATCATGCATCATTAATCAATAAATTTGGCATAAGATCAAGGATATTGAGGAATTAGGGTTTATTTGTGCTTTTAGGCTCTCATCTTCACTCAAGTGTGTTTCAACTGGTTCTTCATAAATTAGGTTTTGTGGAACTAAGGTCATTGTGAACCTCTTCTGCATCAAGCTACAATGTTATCTTTTTCAATATTTCTCAAGAGCATCAAGTGCCAGTGTTTCATATGTTGTGCTTAGGGCTTCGCTTTTTTTATCATCTCAGCTTACTTTCTTCATCATTGAGCATTTAGGGAAGGACCGCTAGGGTTTTAATATTGGTTTTTAATTGAGATTTCTTTAATCTAGGGTTTGGTTTCTCTCCACTATTTCAAGCCTTATCATCCATCTCCAAGAGTTATTTAATGCCTTTCTATTGTGCGCTCCTTAAGTCAAGGGTTTATGGATTGAATTGTAAAACATTGAATCAAGATAAAAAGGATAAGTTATTACTTACAAGGAAAAAGGATGCAAGTTGATGTGTTTTGTTCATTGAAGATTGTTTAGAAGTGTTCATTCAAATTATTATCGTGTTCAAGTTAAGATTGAAATTCATATGGTTTACTTGGAATATAAATTACAAGTTGTGAAAAAAATATACACCAAGATTCACCACAAGTTCAAATCCAAATCAATATCATTCTTCATCAACCATTATTGAAGATCATTCAATGTCCATTTTGATCCAAAGGTCATTCAAGTGGAAATCAAATAAGCTTCATTCTATTTTTTACAAGCTCGTTAATGGATTTCAATATTTATTCACCATTTCATCGAGAGTTTCCTATAAAGATTCATCCAAAGGTTTTCAAACAAAAGGAGCTTTCAAACATTCAAGATATCATTTACATATTCAAGTAAGCCATTACAAAGGATATTTCAAGGTACATCTGTAATATGGTGGGAGAATTGACTTTTTGGTTTTATCCAAAATATGCGGATAGCTAGAGTCGCCATCGACTTTTCTTTTATCCAATATTTAGGAAATGGTGAAAAGAACGGGAAAGACCTTGATAGACTTTGAGTTCAGGGGGTAAGTTATGAAAAGGGAAGGTGTTAGCACCCTTTTCATCCGTAGTTATCTACGGGCTCTTAATTGCTTAGCTCACTTTTGAAAACTTGCTTTGTGTGTGTGATTTGTTTAAAAATATTTTGAAAAGCCAATGTAAGGCATACTTTGTAATGATTCTTGTATTAGTCCTCAAGAATGTGTACAAAGTGTTTTTGAAAATATTTGTTTATGTGAAAAATGTTTTGAGAAAAGTTGTGAGCAAGCAATTAAGAGTTCCTTACCCACTAAAGTCTTTCTTATTCTTTTCCTTATCCTTTGGAGATAGTGCCATCCATACCATTAGTTGGTAGGTAGCCCTATCTATTGGATGTGAAGGGACGGATGTAGGTTCATCCTATGGTCATAGAAGACAACATGTAAGGATACTTTAGCAATTATAGTGGAGGGACTAGATCATTTTTATAGTCAACTTTGAAGGGTCATCGAGAGACTATGATATTTTATTAGGAAGGGTCTTTTGCTAAAGTATCCCTACTTTCGAGGGACATGACCAAGTATCGTAAGGCAACAAGATAGGATACCCTAGAGGTGCAAGTGTGCGAAGTGTTTGTTTTCAGTTATATTATCTTGAGATTAGGGTTTCCTACGTTCAGTTTTTAATCTTTCCATACAAACCCTAGTCACTGGCAGTTAAATATGTACAAAAAAAATAAAGTGCGAAATGTAAAGTGCGGGAATCTAAACCTAGACTATTACATTCTGTGAGCAGTTACATAATTAAATGCGAAAAATAAATCTACGCTATTACATTAGAGAGTGTGACCTATAAATCTATGCTATTACATTAGAGAATGTGAAAAATAAATCTACGCTATTACATTAGAGAGCGCGACCTATACATTTTGTCTAAGAAAATTAAATAGTAAGAAGAAAATAAGAAAATGTTTTGAAAAAAAAGTTTAGAAGACCTAAAGTTCTAAGTATTAGTATTTTGGTATTTTATAGAAAATAATTTAAGTATTAATAATTAATAAAACCTAAATTTCTAATTAATTTTAATATTTAAGAAATAAAAGGTTTAGTTAATTAATTAATTAATTAATAAAAAAATATAAGAAAAATTAATTATTAATAAAAAAACTAATCCTAATTTGTTAGGGTTTTGAAAAAAGGATTTAAGGTTAGTGGTTAATTATTTAATTAAAAAGGACTAATTAAGAAAAAGAAAGAAATTAGGGTTAATAGAAAATAGAAAAGGAAATTAGGTGAGAAAATAGAAAAAGGGATTTGCCTGGGGTGGGTGTTAAACAACACCCAATGCCCCCCAAAGTAACGTGTGCGCCTCCTTGCCGCTGAGCCATGCGCTCTTTGGTGTTTGAAAACAGAAACTGATAAATATATGATAAACCTGCATATTAGTTTGGAAAATAAACAAAATAAACGTAAAAGGCGGGGATCGAACCCACGCCATTCACATTACACGCCTATGCCTCAACCAACCGAGCTGCACTTCAAATCTGTTATTACAATAGAAACAAACAATATATTATAAACCAGTGAACCAGAGAGGCGCCAGAGCCCTAGCTCCGGTCGTCTTCTCCGGCGAGGTCTTTCTTCCACCTGTAAAAACAACACACATTAGAGATTAAAAAGGACTTTATCCCCCTAATTTGGACCTCCTGAATCCAATGGTGGCATCCTTTTTGGCTAATTCATCCTGTACAATGAGATATGATCAAAACAAAGCAAAATAGTACAATCATGGTGATGAAGGATTCTAGCATCATGGGCCTCATGCAAGGGATAAAACCTGCACTAATTTGTCTCAGGAACATATTGAAATCATTATTTTAAACCAAAGCATCGTAAATATTGAAAAACGAATTTCATAAAATATGTCAAATCGGCGATTGCATGAATGCATTTTTTAGGTATGTTTGATCATCAAGAATGATCAGAATTTACCCTATGATACCTCAAAAATCGTTTTGAATGGTTGTCTTGCCTTGAGGGTGGCTGAAATTGGAAATCGAATTCAACCTTCTTTGCAAATTTTTCAACCTAAAAACCCTTGTTTCTTGCAGCCATTGCGTCTGTTTTTGGTCTGAATATGTATTGTTTATATAGAGGAGGAGATTAGGTTAAAAGATGGGTTTGGACGTTATGTGAAACATATCTTTGATTCTTGTTTGAAAATAGGTTGAATTATTACAAAACCATGAAGACTTGATTGGAAAATAAGTGCACACAGTTGCTTGCTTGATCTTGGGCCTCCAAAATATTCAGATCTCAAGCCTTTTATGTCTTATACATTTATTCAATATTTATTTGATTTAATTTTGAATTTAAATGAATAAAAATCAAAATAAATGAAATAAAAATAAAATAATGCATGAATGGACTTAGAGATCTTCTAAGGTATCATGAACATGTTTAGACCTTAAAAGATAGGTCAATTAGCCCAAAAGTTCAAATTTGATCAATTTGAGTTTCATGCATTTTCTCAAAATTGCCCAATTTTCACCAATCATATCTCACTCAATTTTCATCATATGACATTTATTCAATATTGAAGCTCTGAAGGAAATGCTTTTTAGAATGAAGATCTGGAAGAAATGCTTTTCAAAATGAAGATCTGAAGGAAATGCTTTTCATAATGAAGATCTGAAGGAAACGCTTTTCAGAATGAAGATCTGAAGGAAATGCTTTTCAGAATAAAGATATAAAGGAAATGCTTTTCAAAATGAAGATCTAAAGGAAATGCTTTTCATAATGAAGATCTGAAGGAAATGCTTTTCAGAATGAAGATCTGAAGAAAATGTTTTTCAGAATGAAGATCTGAAGGAAATGCCTTTCAGAATGAAGATCTGAAGGAAATGCTTTTTAGAATGAAGCTCTGAAGGAAATGCTTTTTAGAATGAATATCTGAAGGAAATGCTTTTCGAGATGAAGATCTGAAGGAAATCATCTGGTCCCATAGATAGTCGCTCCGTCTTGTTTCGGGAATTGATCTACAACCTGTTTATAGATGGATGATAATATTCTTTTGTTTGCAAACTAACCTGAAAAGACAAAGTTAGTCTTATGCAATGTCATGATGTATGTAATGCATTGTGCAATGTTGCTCTCAAAATAAATGAGAATATTATATGTGTTTCGTATGTTCATGTTATGATATTTTGTAAATGATGTATAGGTGCAATGAATGGTCAGGGCGTATCAGTAGCTTCAAGTAACAATGTTTGGCTGGGGAAAATAAATCTTTGACTGTTGCTGGGGATGAAGACGGTAATTCTTCAATTTTGTTTAGAACGTCTTTACTGGGGATTTCTGCTTTCTGCTTGAGGACACTCCATTGGGGATGTACTATTTGACCAGGTTTTAGATATAAGGATTCTTTGAAGTATATGAGAAACCATTAAGTCCACTTGAGAAATTATTAGTTCAGTTTTCCTTGAGAAAAACAAAACCCTAGTTATAGGTCAATGCTTAAGAGGAGGACTCATCTGATCAATCCTTGAGTAGTATTGAATGCTTGAGAACCCTAGGAGCATGAGGAGATATCTTGAATCAATTTGTCTTGAAAAATGGGAGGACAAATTTTAAAGTACAACAACATCCATTACAATACATCAAGAAAGGGAAACTACATAAACTCTTGACCATAGTCTTCATTAAGCTTGAGGGAAGGAAAATATCCAAGCTTTTACATTTCGCAAAATTCAATTTCCATTCCAACCAAAATTCCATTACAACATTACAACATTCACACACAAAATTTTACACAGAATCTTAAAGTTGCCTAAACCTAAAGAGTCACAAATTCCAATCCTCCATGATTCTTCAAGCTTCATAACTCCCCGGACATAACTTGCATATGTTACTTCAATTCTTCTTCACAAACATTCTCCATGGTCAAGTAAGAGATCCATGTCATGTTTAGTCCAAAATACTCCTTGCCATTGAACCTGGATAATTGAGGAAAACATCAAATTCATGAGCAAAAACCCATAACAGCCCTGCACTTAACAATAAACCAACACAAACAGATCAAAAATAAGCGCCCTGCATTAAGTGAAAACTGAATCTGTCCGTAAATTAGGATAAAATTAGGAAAAGTGTAAAGGGAAATAAAACATAAAACCATACCTGCATAAAAGCATTAACCAGAAGCCTGCATTAGTTCAATAAAGAAAGTCAGAGGAGAGTATTCAATCCCAAACATAAACCTGCCACAACCGAAAACTGAATATGCAACAAGAAAAGAAACTGGAAAATAAATTGAAGCAGAGTTATTAAACCAAAAACGACGGCAAAGGCAAGAAAATCAGAAACTATTTCCTAACAGATTTCAACTAACCTCCAACCAAATTAGTAACAGAATTATAAAGCCGGAACTGAATTATCATCATCTTCTGCAATTTCTCTGTATATTGCTCAAACAATCTGCAACTTCGAATTTTGCTTGCTCCACTGCAGTATCGAAGTTACAGCAACTTCAACAACTTGTTTCATTCATCAACCTATCACATCAAGAATCCACATTCTAACGCAACAATATGCTCACATCATCGACAACACAGGAAAGCACAGGAAAAACGAAAAAGAAATAGAAGAAGTGGAAATTACTCTGAAGCAACTATAAGGAATCATACTATTACCTCTGAATTTCTTGCGACACTGACACTGTTGAAGACGTACCGGAACGGCCTCTGGTAGGTAAGCCTTGATGCTTCCTTCTTATATCCTTCTGCTTCGATCTCCATGTATTTGCGTAGAGTAGAACGTGTAGGTTGATATCCATAAGAATTTGTAAACATATCATGTTTCAAATGCACGTAATCGGATTTTTTAGTAGATCTAGGGTTTCCTTTTATGCAGGATTTAAGAATATGAATTGAGAATATGGATAAAGGAAGATTGGAAAAAGAAGGAGAGGAGAGAGACGAACGTGGTGGTGGTCTCAATTGAATGTTCTAACCGTGTGGTCGTCGCCGCCGTGAGGCGTGACAGCGCGACGACGCTTATGAATCAGAAAAGAAGAGAACGAGAAAGGTTAAAACAAAGAGAGGGAGGGTAATTTTTGTTACGGAAGTTGAAGAGTCACAAGTTAACCTAATGCACTCACACAACACTGTTCCATCCTTGTTTTCTTTTTTTTTTCTTTCTTTTCAATATTGATGATAAATAAAAAATGCTGAATGTTGGATTTCTTGGTTGGGCTCTAATGAGTCTGGGCCTTGTTATTCGCCACCTTGTAGATCCTCGAACTTCTCTATCTCTTTCTCTTTGCTCTCATTTTTCTCAATTTTTGCATTTTATTTGTTTTGATTTTAATTTTCTTCTCATAACTTTTTATAATAAAAAATGACAAAGAATACAAAAATATGATCGATAATTGATAGAGTTTGTTTTAGCATTTTTCTTGAATATGTTGTTTCTTTAATATTTTGTATTAATTTTTTTTTTAATTCAAAAAATTTGATTCCTCTTGATGAATTTGATGTTTGATCCTGTGGCTAATTTCTCATGATGATTTGCCTCGCTTGATGTTTGATAGTTGTTTGTTGATTTTGCTTGTGTGATACATGTTTTCTTAAGATTTTAATTCAATTTTAATCTCTTGATTAAATTGAACTAATTAGACCTTAGGGTTTAAAATCAAGCATGACAGCAATTAAGTATAATTCCCTTGATCTGAACTTTAGGATCATGATCCATGACAACATTAGGATTAGTTTTCATTAATCCTTTTCTCTTTATTTTGCATTACGTGCTTCTAAAACTAAAACTTTTCTTCATCAAAAACTCAAAAATACTTAATGAATAAATCAATACGTGCAAATATGTCACGAGTCTTAAGCATGTGCAGAGTACTTTGGATACGAAGCGCATGCTCGGCCATCTAAAAGTCTTCCATGCCATAGAATTTAGTATTGTATGTATCTCAAACACTTTCATAAATAAAGGGGAAGTACTCCGATAACTCTGGCCTTGGAGAATCATCTGAGGTATTCTCCTAACAAAACACAAGCAAGTCAAACGTGGCACTTTGTCTTGAGGGCGTAATTCAAAACTTTTTTCAAAGTATTCGTCACCCATAAAGAACACACAACAAACCAAAAATTTTGAGCTGAACTACGACGCTTTGATTCCTTATAAGGGATATGTAGGCATTAGGTTGCAGGGCCTAAGTTAGCACAACTATTTAAAACCTTTGTTTTCTCTGCATTTTTCTTAAGCAATTCATGCATGCATTTCCTTAGCAAGTAAACATTAGATATAACACACCATTTGATTAGAACAACAAGAGTGGATCTCGTGGAGTACCACGGACGTGAGGGGTGCTAATACCTTCCCCTCGCGTAATTGACTTTTGTTCCCTTTCTCTTGGTCGCAAGACCATCTTATCCTTCCTTTGGGGGTTTTCTCGATATTTTCTCTTCCTTCGCGATAAATAAAGTTCGATGGTGACTATGTGTTTTTTCACGGTGTGACAATTGGTACTAAATGGATGTATAATAACAAGTCTGATGAACAAGGATTTTCTACAAGAAATAAAGCCAGACTTGTTGCTTAAGGGTACACTCCAATTGAGGGAGTGGACTTTGAGGAAACATTTTCTCTTGTGGCTTGCTTGGAATCTATCAGGTTGTTACTTGAAGTGGCATGTCTTTTAAAGGTCGAGTTATTCCAAATGGATGTTAAGAGTGCTTTCTTAAATGGCTATCTTAATGAAGAAGTATATGTTGAACAACCAAAAGAATTTGTTGATCCTAAATTCCCAAATCATGTGTTTAAATTAAAGAAGACCTTGTATGGGTTAAAACAAGCTCCAATAGCTTGGTATGAGAGGTTGACTGAGTTACTCATTAACCATGGATATAAAAAGGGTGGAATTGATAAGACTCTTTTTTTCAAAGAGAAAGGTGGAAAAATTATGATAGCTTAGATCTACGTGAATGATATTGTTTTAGGAGGGATGTCAGAAGAGATGGTCCAACATTTTGTCAAGCAGATGCAATATGAGTTTGAAATGAGTTTGGTAGGTGAATTAACATACTTTCTTTGTCAAAGCATGTATGCAAAGAATATTGTGAAGAAATTTGAATTGGATAATGCCAGTCACAAATAACTCTTTCTCCTACATATTTGAAGTTATCTAAAGATGAGAAGGGTATAAGTGTTGATCAGAGTTTGTATAGAAGCATGATTGGTAGCCTTCTATATCTTCAGCAAGAAGACCAAATATAGATTTTATTGTTGGAGTTTGTGCTAAATATCAAATAGAACCCAAAGTGAGTCACATCAATCAAGTCAAAAGAATTCTAAAGTATGTGAATGGTACATGTGATTATGGAATGTTGTATTCTCATGATTAAAATCCAATGTTAGTGGGATATTTTGATGTTGATTAGGTTGGGAGTGTTGATGATAGGAAGAGTGCCTATGGGGGATGTTTCTTCTTGGGAAACAATCTGATTTCTTGGTTCACTAAGAAACATAATTGTGTATCTTTATCTACTACTAAGGTTGAGTACATAGCAGCATGTAGCAGTTGTTCTCAACTAGTGTGAATGAAATGAATGTTGATTGAATATAATGTCACGCAAGATTTCATGACATTATTTTGTGAGAACTTGAGTGCTATTAATATCTCCGAAAATCCTATTAAGCAATATCCAAAAATCTTCTTAGGACTAAACACATTGATAGCAGCCATCATTTCATTAGATAACTTGTTGAAGACAAAGTCATAACTCTTGAGCATGTTAGCACTGAAAATTAGCTTGCTGATATTTTTACTAAAATCTTGGATGTTGTAGAGTTTGAAAAAATTAAGAGGGAAACTTTGTATTTGTGTTTATGAGTATTTGTAAAAATTACTTCTATTTATGTGGGTCAATCAAACTTTCATCTATGTTGTTGGTAAAGAAAGGGCATTTGATTTTGGAGCATACATATTTGATCAAATCCTGAAGCAAGCATTCTCAAATGCTATGAAAAGGCTCATCTGTTTTCCTTCTCTCATCTATGGAATAATCTTGAAGTAACACCCTGGTATTTTATTGGTTGTTGATAGTGTGAAGAAAAGGGAATCTCCTTTAACTTTGGATTTTGGTGGAGCACATGTTCCACACATTGTTGTAACATCTTCCTAGGTGCCTGGTTCTATCACTTCCAAGAAAGGAATAATTTCTCAATCGAAGGAGACATGCAGGGAATTGGAAGACTCTATCAGGGCTAACACTACTAGGACGATCAAGGTTGAGTGGTTGATTAAAGCTTTGATGGAAGAAGAGGAAGACCAAGTTGAATCTGCTAATGTTGTTGCTGTTGACAGTGCTAAGTCTAAAGGTGATGAATCTATAGGTGATGATTCTGTTGTTGATGATGCTGATGGTGAAAATGGTTCATCTGATGCTGATGATGTTGATGATGTTGATGATGAAAGAGATGAGTATGACATTGCTGATGATGCTGGTGCATGACTGTTGTTCTTGGACTTTTGTTGTTTTTTTGGTCTTGTAAAGGTTAAATGTCCGGACTATCTTTAGCAGCTTGTGTTCACTTTATGCTACTGTGGTTTCATTTTGGTTAGATGCTTACCTTTGTCATATTTTGGCTAAAAATGGGAGTAATGCGTGTTTGCTTTAACCACTAACCACTAACTAGAGATGGCTGCTATTGAGGGGGAGAACTTTTGATTCTCTGAGGTTTATCTTAGCAGGTTTTGCAGGGGATTCCTTGCTCTGGATTGGACTGTTGTGAAGATATGTTAGATATGATGTCCTGACATCAATCTGGATGAGAATTTATTTTTCTCTCTATGTTGTTGTGTTTAGTATCTTCTGGTGACTGATACTCTGATATTATTGTTCTGCTGGTGATACCCCTGATAGTTTGATATTTCTAATGATATTTTCAACTGATATGCTTCTGATGTGTGTGTTTGATTTATTTTTAAGCCTATGTTGTTCTGTTGAAACCTGTATTTTGGTGTTTGTGTGCAAGGGTTTTTAGTTTGTTTTAGCCAAAATTTACCAAATGGGGAGATTATTAATTCTCTATTTTTATGATTGACATTAATTTTGGTAAAACTAACTTGGCCATAACATGTTGAATAAGATGTTCTAACTTGTAGAGAAACATATTGGACAAGATGTCTTATCCAGACCATTCGACATCATGTCTGTTACAACTGTGTACTTGGATACATTTGATGTATAATAGATTCTGAATATTTTGGGAATATTATGTTATCATATGTGGCGTCCAAGATTGAGGAATCAGATATTCTATTTGAAATTCAAAGTTTATTATGTTTCAATAAATGATGAAACATTTTAGGGAACATTTGATTAAAGACCTGTTTTTAGGATGAAGATTCTGCAGACTTTTAGCAGTTGCCTTGTTGCCTTTTGTAAATCCCAAATCCAGTCCAATCAAGGTTATAAAAAGAAGGCCACATACATAATTAAAGTGTGGAACATTTTGTATCTTTTAGTGAGATTTTAGGATTTGTGTTCTTATTATTTGTGAGCCTCTCTAATATTATCTTGATATAAGAGTAAGATTGTCTCTATTGAGTTGTAAGTTCTATCAATCATTCTTAAGCTTTTAAACATTGAGTGATTGTGTGTCTTTAAAGTTTAACTTCTAAAACTTTCTAAATATTAGTGTTTTTCATCACTGTTGTGATTGAAAGGTAATTGAGAAGGGTCTCATACCTAGGTGACTCTTAGGTATAAGTTAAGAACAGGTAGTGATTAGGTGAGTAGATTGTAAACTGGTGATAGTTTGTTATGGGTGTACAAACTGATA